AGTATTTTATTGCTTGGAAACACTTCTCTTAGCTCAGGATGTGTCCCAGCTGCCTTCAAACATGCCGTGGTTAAGCCACTACTTAAAAAGAAAAATCTGAACCCTTCCATTATCGCAAATGTTATGCCGATCTCACACCTACCTCTCGTCATGCTGCCTCCCACAGGATTGTAGTTGACATCTTCGTAGATTCATCTTCTTATTACAGACACATGCATTTCCTAACATTTGGACTACCTATGCTGTAAAATGTATTATCTCTTCGATTTACACACGGCATCTACTGCACGTCTGTCCGTTCTGGGAGAGGGATCCCTCCTCTGTTGCTCTCCCTGAGGTTTCTCCCATTTTTTCCCTTTAAACTGTTGGTTTTCTTCTGAAGTTTTTCCTTGTACGATGTGAGGGTCTAAGGATAGAGGGTGTTGTTTTTTTTTCTTATACTGATATTCTGAACAATCTGTGCTGCCGTATTAGCTGTAAAGTGTCTCTACTGTAGGCTATTTTTATTGTATGTACAGCACTTTGGCTCGACCAAAAATTGTTTATAAATGTGCTATATAAATAACACTTGATTTGATTTTATGATTATTGAAATGTATACAGCTATGTTTCCTATGGGTGTTCCCATAGATCTAGTCCCTGTATTTCCCCCTCAAAATGCACCAGATTGATGCATTTAAATCCAAAACATTTTAAATCGGGGGAGCATGCCCCCGGACCCCCCTAGAGGATTTGAGGTCCACCCCCACTTAAAATCACTTGGATAGGTTCCTAAATACATTTACAATTTTTTTTTAAATAGTAACCCATGTCCATATGTTTATTTGTGGGTAGTAGAATTAAACTATAGGGCCTGTTCGCTCTGCCATGGCGTGAAGGGTCTGCTAACAAGCGACCAACAGAAAGGTTAAGGTTAATGTTGTTGCACGTCACAAAGGCACGTCTTTTTTATTAATGTACTTTTTATTAATGTACTTTTTTCTTTTAATGTTTCTTTCATTATCTTTTCTTGTTAATGACTGCTTTTAAAAACCTTTGTCTGAATGTTTTTCATTTTAGTAAAGCACTTTGAATTTCCTTGTGTTGAAAGGCGCTATATAAATAAACTTTCCTTGCCTTGTTTTAACTTCAACATTTAAAAACAAATCTTCCCGGGGGTGCATGTCCCCCGGACCCCCCTAGGGGATGTGAGGTTCACCCCCAAATAAAGCAGGTTAAAATAATGTAATTGCATACATTTTATTTGTTATGTGGATGTGTAGTATTTGTGTTACTGTATGTTCAATAAAGGTGATTTAGCAAAACACACCAGTAGAGCCTCAAGAGCCTTTCTTGTGCTGGCACACATAGAAACATATTGGCGGGGCGCACTTCGCATGAAAAAATTAATTCCACACGCTCCGCACTCACATTTTGCTGGGCTCGCGTGCCTTAGCACCGCTGCTATGACTCCATCCTAGGGGAAACACTGAATGTTCTTGTAAAAGAACATTCATGTGTCTAAAAATACATTCTTTGATAGGTTTGTATAAAATAATAAATAGATAACCAAATCCATAGTTCGCTCTCTATAATAGGCCAACATACAGTAAAGCTAAATATTTTCCCATGTGTACTAGTTCCAATGAAAGAAAAGCTTTAAAAAAATGTTGTCTATGCTTCCAATTATATTGCTTTGAGGAAAGCGCATTGGAAACAGATTCATAAAAAAACTTGGTATATATTTAATTACTTTGCCCACCAGTCCATAAATGTGTAATTCCTCTCGTGTCTGTGACTCTCATCATCTGCCACTACTCACCCATCTTGACCTTTTTCCCCTCTGTGTATTCGTCATGGCGAGGCCGTTTGCGCTGTTCGCGGGGTGCAGGTGTGGAGCGTGTTATTTCACTCTGGGCCATTCCCAGGTCCAGCAGCAGGGTGCTGATCTGACCCTGGAACTCCAGGCTGCAGGGGTGCTTCAGGACCGCCACCAAGTGCAGCTTCAGGTTCTTTCGCACACTGCTAACCTGAGACTTGGCCAGAGTTGGTGGCAAGTTTGCTAAAAAGGTTTAGGTAAGGAGGAAAAAAAATAAGAATAAGCATTTAGCATAATAATATGCACAGTCAAATGATCAGAAAGATTGGCTCTGAAGCACTTACCGTGTAAAGTCTCATACGCCTGAACCACCTCCGACATGAACATGGGCCTCTGCCGGGCGATTGTAGCGAGGGAGCCCAGCGTTGTGGTGAGGTTGATGCTGGAAATGGCTGGATGGACCATGAACTTCAGCAGCTTCTCCAGTGCAGCCTTCCCCTCCTCACACAGAGCAGCTTTTCATTCCATCAGGGAAATCACAAGGTTTAATGGACTGGAATAGGGCTGCACAATACATCGTGTTGTCACCACCAAGTTAACTTGGGTAAGACTGTGTTATTACACTCGTTGGAGACTTATTTTAAAAGCGGTTTTTGGTAAATAATTGCAATTTAAAAATTGCAATTTAAATGTAACTAATCCTTTTTCTTTTTTGATGGCTTCTCTGTTTTGTTTGACATTAACATAAGTAATATTGTAAGTGATATTAAACAACATTATTGCATAATTTACTTGTATCGTTCAACCGGAGATGTGAATTTTTTTTAAACACATTATGACCTCAGAGCAGATTTGGGACATACGTACAGTAGCGAATGTATGAGTGATCTCGGGGAACTTTATCCAGGCTGATGTCCCCTTCCTGTCTCTTGGGAACATCAGAGTCTGACGTCCGCGGCGACAGAGTGATGATTAATGATTCTGTGAACTTGATAGCGTGAGTGCGCACGCCGTCATTTTCAGAGTCCAGCAAGGCTAGAACATCTCCTTTCATCTGTGTGACCATATCCCAGGATGCCTCCTGCCTCTCGGTTACTGCTTTAGAGCGCACCAACCACTACAAGGAGGAGATGGAAGTCAAATATATGAAACACAACATACATCACACACATAGATTTTTTTAGAGTCTACGTATTTATTGATATATTATTACAATACGCAGTATTTTATTCTAATGTTAGATTACATTTTACACTGTTTTATCTCACATTACTCTATTATAAATGGTGGACTTATTGCTACATTTAACTTGAATCTTAGTCAGTGTTGTAGTCAAGTCAGCAATTCACGAGTCCAAGTCACTCTCGAGTCACCACTCTTCAAGTCCGAGTCAAAGTCCGAGTCACCCAAGGAGTGTCTGAGTCATCATTACCTGTGTTCGAGACCGAGTCACCTAAGAAGAGTCCAAGTCAAGTCTGAGTCACAAGTCTTCATGTATTAATCTTCGTGGATATATGTGTTGAAATGTAGCTGCTCCTCTACATTGCTTTTATCCTGTCATGTTATACTAATCTGTCTATTGAACTGCTGTGAAGCGAGTTTGGCTACAATTCTTGTAATAGGTGCTATACAAATATAAAGCTTATTACTAATATTAATATTATTATTATATATAAATAAACTATATTTAAAATGAGTTACCTTTTAGAGTGATTATATTTGTATGCCAATATTTTCCTATGGTAAAGTTTTCGTTTTGCACTTTTATTTTGATAGTAATAAGATCGGGACTCTTATTTTGAAGGAACTTTTACGGGTTAAATCGGTTTACTGATAAAGATTCAGCCCCAGAAAGCACATGGCTACTTAGCATGCAAAATGACATCATTCTGCATGTTAAGTAGCCCTGTACTTTCGTGTTATCTGCTGAATCTTTATTTATTGATTAGATCACATTACTCTGATGATAGTGTTCAAGACAGCCTGTCTGAACTCGATCCTTAGAGTAATGTGTTACGGAGCCTTCTCTTCAATATTGTTTCCACATAACAAGCATTTTGCGCTGCTCTTTTCCTATGTGGAAGCAGAATGTGTGAAAGCATACAGCACGATGCGGGGTGTGTCTGAGACATCTTTAGACTGGAATAGCGGGGCCCAGTACGTGAACTCGCCTCACAGGTGCACACGCCAGGATAGAGGACATCAGACTCCAGAGAAAACTTGCTCGAGTCCGAGTCCAAGTCAGCGTACGCGAGAATTCACGAGTCCAAGTCGCGTCAATCAGTGCGCGAGTCCGAGTCGAGTTAGGAGTCCCG